CATCCATCCATCCATCCATCCATCCATCCATCCATCCATCCATCCATCCATCCATCCATCCATCCATCCATCCATCCATCCATCCATCCATCCATCCATCCATCCATCCATCCATCCATCCATCCATCCATCCATCCATCCATCCATCCATCCATCCATCCATCCATCCATCCATCCATCCAATCATTCTACAAACACTTATTGCCATAATAAATTCATATGTTTCAATGAATATTTACTAGTCAAAGAAATCTAGGATTCACTTTAAAATGAAGATATTATGAGCCAGAGAGATCATTCAGCAGCTAAAGGTGCTTACCTACAAGCCCGAAGACTGAGTCTTAATCACTGACCATCATACAGTGGGAGAGGAGAACCAGCTCCTCCTCAAGTTCTCTGGCATGTAACCCCCCCAAGCCCACCCCTCTTCACATAGAAAAATAAACTGTTAAAAAAAAGTCTTTAAAAATAAAGTCATCAAAAGAAATAGACACGTGAGGTGGCTTATGGGGCAGGGATGCTTGAAGAGAAAGCCTGATGAGTTGAGTTCAATTCTCAGAACCCAGGTAAAGATGGAAAAAGAGAACTTATTTTACAAAGTTGTCCTCTGACCTCATCATGCCCACCCCACAACAATGAATAACATAAACTTTAAAGAAGTAGTAGGTGTAGCAAAATGTGCACCTGAAGTCCTTGCCCTGGGGCAGGAAGGATCAAAAGTCTGAGGCTAACCTACACTACCCAGTGAGATTCTGTCCCACCCCTGAAAAAAGAAGCCCAACAAATGAAAACAAACGAGCTTGGAGTGGTGATTTGCACCTGTAATCACAACGCTCAGCAGACTTATGTAGGAGGACTGACTTGCTTTAAGCCAGCCTAGGCTACATAGTAAACAAACGAGCTTGGAGTGGTGATTTGCACCTGTAATCACAACGCTCAGGAGACTTATGTAGGAGGACTGACTTGCTTTAAGCAAGCCTGGGCTACATAGTGAGTTCCAGTCACTGGAGAGATGATGTAAGACCCTGTTACAGAAACAGAATGGAATAGTCAAAGTAAATATTTAACACTCCGAGAGTAAATTACAAGACTAAGTACTTCTAAAGCATGTGTGTAAAACCTGGTTTTATTCTCAGCATGAAGACGCTTTGCAAAGATTCAAAAAAATCAAACAAAATAAAATTAAAGGATTCAATGTCCATATCATTCTAACCGCTTTTATATTGAGCTATATAATGTATCCCACAACACTGAAAGTGCACGGCTGGATGTGAAGAGCAGTAGGAGAAAAAGAATGAAGATAATATAGTCCAGATTTCCATTGTTCCGAGAATTGCAGAATTATCTTTATTTTCTCAGTGCACTAAATGGCTCTGGCACTCTCAGTTTTTAAATTTCCTGAAATACTTCACCCACTCCACATTTCCTCCAGCCTTTGTAGTGTCAGAATTCTTGGCAAGGATTTCCCCTCTCTCTGTTCTGTATCTGCAGAAGCCTGCAAAAAACTAAACTCTCTGGTGTAACTAAACTCTCTGTTACTCCTTAGAGAAGCCAAGTGAAGTGCAGCAGCCATGTTGGAGTTTCCCACACAATTAAGAATAGACTCAATCTCCAGGGCAGGGACTCGTCATGATTCCTTGCTGGGGAAAGAGCTGGACTTTTTCAATTGCTGTTCATCAGGGTTAGTTATTTGACTTGAGTTCTTTTATTATTACATTAATTTTAGCAAATGAAATTGTCTTCAGCTTTTTTTTTTCTTGATCTAAGACTTGAACTGCATTAAGATGATCAAAGTAACCCAGATGGGTAACAGGGACATCCTTTTCCTTTTGGGGACTCTTTTTGGCATCTCCTTTGTTTTCAGTTATTGTTTGTATGGTTTGAAAATGGAATGACTCCCACAGACTTCTCCCCAGCTGGAGGCATTGTTTGGGAAGGTTGGGGGAACCTTGAGGAGGTGGAGCCTCTCTGGAGACGTCTTTGAATGTATGTATGGCTTTTGGCTATGTCTCTGCCTTTGTGCATCTTATCAGTTAGGCAGCCAGCCTCCCCTTCTCCACTTGTTCCTGCCAACATGATATCCTGCTCAAGAGCATAGGGTGATGGACTGAACCCTCTGCAAGTGACCCAAAGTAAATATATTAATCCATATAAATTATGTTGTTGGGTATTACCATCACAAGTGTGGAAAAACAAGTAAAACATTCTTCAAAATGCTTTTGTTTTAACCCCTCCCATCCTAAACCCTGGAATTTGTTAACATAATTTTACTTGCTTTAAAAACAGTGCTGAGATCTACCACGTGGTTGCTGGGAATTGAACTCAGGACCTCTGGAAGAGCAGTCAGTGCTCTTAACCTCTGAGCCACCTCTAGATGCCCCTCAACTGAAGAATGGATTGAGAAAATGTGGTACATGTATACAATGGAGTACTACTCAGCAGAAAAAAGCAATGGAATCTTGAAATTC